ACAGGATCCCTTTTTAACTGAAATACTTTAAATCGGCTTTAATTTTTAATTTTTTTTCCCAGGGTTTGAAAATCATTTCTCTCTGAATTAAATTAAGAAGCAATTTAGACAACCATGGATGAAGGGGAGGGAGTTGGAGATACAGACAAAGGGAAAATTCACTCTTTTGATGTGAGAGTTTCTTTAATCCTACTAAGCATTTAAACAACTTAAACTTTTAGGCAACTAAGTGATGTCCTACTGTCTTTAGATAACCTAGGTAAAGCACTTATGCAAATTCTTAAGGAAAACCATATCATACAACCCAAACTGACTTGAGAGTATATGAAAACTTAACATGCAGAGCCTTAAAAAGTCAAATTAAAACATTAACATTATTCAGTTAAGATACAGCTGCAGCAAACAAGGGGGTCCTCAGTAAGTACAAAAATGAAAGCATTAACAGTGGTGTCAGAACATTCTTTTCTGAGAAATTTCATTCTACACTTTTCAAAAATAGAAAAGAAGAGGCTACATATTTTTGATGGTCCCAGATTATGACAGTATTATCTATTTGTCAAAGTAAAACTGAAATGCCACAAGTTGATGATAGCATTTTGTTCCCATGGTTGCACATTAGACTTCGGTTTGAAAAGGATTTGAATCTTGGGGATTTTTTTTTAACTTTTCACCATGATAAAATACACTCTTTGTGATATTCAAGAAATTATATTCCAATAATGCTTTCAAAATGAAAGGGTTAAGGAACTAGAGAGAGAAGGGAATTAAATATTTCAGGTCACTGAAATTAAAGAGTGTGTACAGTTTTCTGTGAGAGAAGCTCCAGAAAGATGAAAGGAAACAAGTGACATGAGGCAAGCTTCCAAATAGTGCCTTCTTGAATTTTCCATTTAGGCATCTTAAAAGTCTAGTCAAAGGGAATTCTTACTACTCCACACAGTTCAAAACCTTCCGAGAAACAGCTGTAACTTTAAAATAAAGAAAAGCAAACAAGAACTTAATGTCTGAAGTGGCTCTATCATTGAAACCTGACCTCTTCACACAAGGACATGAATTTCAGCTGTAAGATCCACTTCAGGATATTTGTTCCCACATTTCATAAAGCACCAAATATTTCATGGTAGTTTAAAAAATTTAAGCTTTCTCCTGTAAAAGACCAAAAGATATTAAAATGTGACCAAAAATCTTAAGGCTAAAGCTAGTGTTGTAACTGATAGCTCTGAGCCAAGGAATTGAGGATCAAAATAGTCCAGATTTGGTAAACTGTTTAGTCCTGATTTTGTGGACAAAATGAATCAGCTAGGAAACTAAGTGACTTTTGATACCAGTAGCAGAACAGTTCCCAGTGTCCTGTCTCTGAGTATAGCTAGTTTGTGAAATCCTGGATAGTCACACTTATACTTCTGAACAGGGAAAAAAATAAATGAATCCTACAATTAGTCTAATCAGAATAAATACACTACAAAGACAGTACAATAACACGACAATGAAGCATAGATTTTCAACTTCTGAATCACCTTTGTGCCATTGTAATATTTATTCCTCTTTTGGAGCATGGAAGTGGGCTGGGTAATTGTCCACACAGCCAAGAGCTGGCAACCTGGCAATCCACTAGGAGCTGTGCAGCAATGAGACATTCTTGTGGTTCTGCAAGAATCACCTGAGGTCTAACAGAGACTGTAGCATGAGCACATCACACACCTTCAGCGCTGAGTTTGGTGCTGGAAAATACTGAGATATCTCTCAAGCTGCTCCTTAACACTCCCAGTTCTGCTAACACAGATCAATGGCACCCAAGGTCAGGCTGGAAAGGTCTGTTAGCTCCATACCAGACATGTCTAAGCAGCAGCACTGCTTCATGGCTTTGAGATGCCTTGAGGATGGTACAGCTGGGTTCACATCCTGCGATTTCGGCTTCTGGTGGCTCTGCACCAAAGCCAGTCAGATTTCTGTTCCCTCTTTATTTTATACTTAGAACCAGATCAGTAATCTGTGTCTGTCAACCCAGAGGAATAATCTGTAAGCAGCAAGAATAACTACCATCTCAGAATGCTGAAATGAATGTATTTGACCATATTTTCCATTGATTTCCACTTGGCACTGTCATAATAGAAAACAGTGGGCTGATGGCAAGTTCCTGTGTCCTATTCTCATGCCATTCAGCTACCTTACAGCAACTCTTAGGCTCATCATTCTTATTAAAGACAGAAACTATTTCTAGCATACACACATATTTATTTTGTACTTTTGCCTTTCTCTGCCAAGTGCTTACAGTAGTAACTAAAATTACAGCATAACTCAGCAGGGCTCGCAAAAAGGGATAAACCATTTCACCTCACACTCTTAGAAGTAATAGAAAAGTAGGTAAACATTTAATCTAAAATGAGTGTCATGTATATTCAAGCAATATCACTGAAGCAAAACTGTTACTAGAGATGCCTACTATCTGAATCATGGGACAGCTTTTATGCAAGCCCTGAAGTAAAAGATAAATTTTAAGATATATTTTCTTTCATATTTTCCCTCTGCGAAGTAAAGAGACTATCAAGCATGTTTGTTTGAACATAAGTTTTTGTAAGTTTACGGCAACTTCTCAGATTTTGGTGTTCTGTGAAAACTTGAATTTTGGTTGTATTTTCTGTGTTGCCCCTTCTGTAACACAGTGCAGCTGTGATGAAGGAAGAGCTGTGAGAATGTCTTTTAACCATTTGTGCACATTCTTGATACTAAAGCTGCTAAGCATGAATTTGACTCCAGAGAAACTCTGGGAGAATCTACTAGAGAAACTCTGGGAGAATCTACTAGAGAAACTCTGGGAGAATCTACTTAGTCATCTCTAATCATGCTGTGGGGAACAAAGCAATGTTCCAGCTCTACTGAGGTTTTTATCAGCACATCTGTGTCAGAGACAAGGGGCAGCAGTGCACAGAACTGGCACATTAGGAGCTGGTTAAGAATCACTGTGTACAGTGTGGTGCAATGCAGTCCCAAGAATCCAGAATATTGCCTGAATGATTTTTTTAAAAACTCTGTTCTGATATTTGCAATCTAATTAAAATACTCACTCGCAATTCATATTTTCTCAATTTTTGCAACATAAATCATCTTAGTAACATCCAATATACAATTCTAAAATTACTGACTAGAACTGAGGAACTTCTGAGTTAAATCAGACTTTTTATTGTGGCTAATTAAGATGTTTCATCTATTAACATTCACAATCATCTTATACAATACATAACTACCTTGAACTATTTGCAGAAAATACATATTCTGCAAATATTCTAAGTATTCTAGATCTTAGTCAATTGTCACAGGTTTTATACAATATTTGCATAACTTTTTAAACAAGGAGTGCCAATATATTCCAAGCTTTGCAATAATTTCTAGTTTTTATCTCATCAGTGACTTTATTTATGGATACATTTCTGCAGACACACTGAAGATTTTTGGTTTGTTATCCCTACCCCATGCTCTTCCTCCAAAAAAAGACTAGCTTCTAAGTGAGAATGAATTTAATACAATTCACATTAAAAGTCTCTCTAATAAATTTTAGTTTAAGGAGATTTATGCTCTAAAGAATTTTATTGCAAAGATAATTTCTGACATTTTTTCATATGCATTGTATTTCCCTTCAGAGGAGACAAAGAAACAAATTATTCTATAAGAACAATAAGTTATGAAAAAATATCTCTAGGTAGACCTCTACAGGCCTCACCTTTAACTATCAGGCAAATCTAAATGAGTTTATCAGTATTTTCCAAAACGAAGTTAAGGTATATGAATCTTACAATTGAGGTTGAGTTGCAGGTATAACTACTGATGACTTCTGCTCTTATAATTTCAGAACTTCAATACTACATTAGATAAAAAGTAAATTACGTAGCATTGCTGTCTCCTTATCAACAAAGCTCAACAGTAGTTGAGCTGCAGTTCAGTAGTGTATTAATCCATGTCAGTTTTGTAAAAAATATGTTATTATGGTTTCATTTCAATTTTCTCACATTGAAATTAATATAATACTATTATTTGAAAAATACAGCTTGGAAAAAGTAGGGCTGATGTGCAGAGAATAAATGTCTTGTCTTTGCAAACTAACAAAGTTTAAAAAAAAAACTTTCAAATGAAAAACAATTTGTTTTATCTACACAGAGATGAGTCACATGGAGTTAGAGAGGCCCACACAGACTCTGCTTTTAAAGTGACATTGACAAAGGCCATGAGGATATTGTCTTTGCTGATCTATTAATCTCTTTTACCTAGGGCATTAGCTGGCACAGTAGTAAACCACCATGTATTCCAAAGAATCTGGGGCCTTGTCAGGGAGAAAAGTTGTGGGGTTTGTTGTTGGAAGTAAATGTGCTCTTGAGGAATTACTCAGCTGCCAGTGCCTCCTTTTTCTTTATGAGTTTTCCTGGTACGTTTTCTGTGCCATGCAAAAATGTTAGTACTTGGGGCAACTGGAGTGTACAGCCAGGAATAGCATAAGGCAGAAATGCCCCCTCAGCAGCATCCCCTATCTGCTGCCAGTTTATAAAGGTTCATTAACGGTTGCTTAAGTTTCATTGTTTGAGCACCCTAAACAGGCTTCAGGTTAAGTTAATTACCTGGTGTTCCTATGTAACAAATTGAGTGACCCACTAAAAACAGATCGGCAAAAGCTGACACCTTGAGCATGCAGCTTCTTAATCCTTCCATGATCAAATATTAAGAAGAGTGTTTCTTAGCCTGCTCTTACCAAAGAAGTTCAGCTACCCAGTTACATCAGCAGAGCTAGAAAACTCTGGAAATAATCTCTTTTCAAGCAGTTTTAAAAATCCAGGGGCTTTGGATACAGAGTGATGAAAGGCAGCAGTGCTACCTTGTCTTGGCTGTGTTTGTATGGGATTAAGCCAGTTTGAAATAAACCTGATGGACATAGTTCTGTCTGTGAATCCAGACAGATCTTAGATGTGTCCTCAGTGTTGCTAGGAAACAATCAGTTCTCAGTACTCATCACAGCAACAATGTGGGCTCTCTTAGGCTGACAATGGAAGCAAACAGTGAAGAAGGCCAGGCCACTGTCCCAACCTCATTTCCACTGTATTCACCAGATGGCCTTAAAAGAGATCAGCAAAGGAAACCATACAATGAGAGCAAATAGGTACTTTGGCAAATCATGGCATATGGAAGCACAAAAAGAGTAACACATTATATAACCTAATCATTGAGTTTACTATCAAGATAAGACAGATTCTGTCTGCTACAATGGAAGAAAGCTCATGAAACTACATTGAAGTGAGATTTGATCAAATCCTAACTCTAGTGAAAGAGTACAGGTGGTTTCATGCTATATCTTGGGGGTTGATGCTATTCTTGATGACATCAATTCTTTCCCATTGTTTTTGTTTGTTTTGTTTTGTTTTTGTCCCTTTGGTCTCCTATCCCATTAATCACTCTTGATGAATTCCTAAACTCTAAGCAAAATTTCTGTTCTCTCAGGACCTCCACCACACATGCTGCAGACATTCAACATTCCCTTTCTAGTTGAGTCATCTGAACTCCCTCTGCAGAGTTTCTGTTGTCACTCAGTTAAGTTCAAAATAAGTAAAAACTGATGGGTTCTTTTACTCTGAGATCACCTAAGCAGGGGTCCTTTGGTTTTAGTATCACCTAAACAGATGAGATCAGATTTTGAGACCCTCCATACTCTCTGACTGGCACATTACAGCTGTGTAACTGTAGTGCTATATCCTGTTAAAACTTCTAGGAATCGTCATTTACAAGTAGGCTTTTTGGGAGATAAAATCTTGCTCATACGCACATCTTGCAATGAACTCAGTTGCAAAGCTAGAAGCTTACCTGTTTGGTTATAGGCTGTCTCAAATAACTTACATTAAAGAACTCATCACTGTAGCACCTCTATCTTTGCCACTATTAAGAACAAAAACAAAAACAAAAGCAAAAACAAGAAACAACTGAAAGCAAGGTGTTAACAAAATTTTAATAAACCAGACCCTTCCTCCCCATTCTTTCCAATGATTTTCTCTTAATGACTGTTCTTACAAAAGAGTCACGATATGTTTTATGCATCCAGTACATCATGTATCCCTCAAGGTTCATCACTGTTTTTCTTGATAAGACAAATTTTATGTTAGTCATGAAAAGCTAGACGAGCTTTTTTTAACCTGTAGTCTGGTGCAATCACAATTGCATTACTGTAAAGAAGAGTAGAATTATGTCCCTGAGAGGACCAATTAATTCTGTCTTTCCACTTCTCCAGAGGGGAGAGTAAAATGCCAGTTTTTACCTGTTTCTGTCCATATCCTTTAGAAGAAATAGGAATATGGCAAAAGCCTTTTTATTTCTTCCCCTGTGAGATATTTTATTTTTCCCCACTCAACACTGATTATGTAAGCTAAGAAAAAAATGTAGTTTATTCATTAACTGTACAAAGTTATTCTTAGATTTTTCTAAAGATGACTCCATGAACATTAACACTGGAGCCACACATCTACTGTTCACTTTCTATCAGTCCTCTTCTGCACTGTATTCCATTTTAGTAAGAAATCAATATTATGATTTCACCCTTGAATTCAATTGCATTTTGCTTGTTCTCCATTTCTGTTTGTGCAAAGACTGTAGTAAGTAATTATGCTGGCTAAGGCTTTTCAAACAAAAAGTGTTCCTGCATAAATGCACATACTGTTTTTGTTTATCAGATTAACATTGTCATCATGGGGATAAATTTGCTTTTATTTATTTTTATTTATTGCAGGACAATGGGAGACACTACAGCTGCAGAAGATGTCACTTATGACTCTTTGTGTCTGCAATATCATTCAGGTTAATAATATATCTGGCCCTAAACACACAGCAGAGGACCACAGGGAAAAATAATTACCCCTTCTCTTACTTATGCAAGTCTTGTATGTTCATTTTGGGATTCGTGTTTTAAACTGTGGCTGCATCCTCCCCTATAGTGGCTTCTATCACGGGAACATACTGGGATGACTCGCACAACGGTCAGCAGGGCACAGGTCTGTGGGCACTCTGTTGCAGACTGGCCAGCTGGGGAGAACGGGCACTTGGGGTGTTCTGCAAGCAGCTGCCAGAAGCCCCACCGTCACTGGCCCTTGTACTCATGGGCAATGTCAGCTTGCCAAAGGTCTGCTGGAAATACAACACAGCAGAGAGGAAGCATCTAGGAGGTTTCTGAAGTGATTGGGAAACAGCATCCTTGTACAAATGGAAAATGAGCGTACCCGAGGAGGGCCTCTGCTGGACCTGTTGTTTGTGAGTAGAGGACAGGTGGCTGATGTACTCAGTGGCTGTCTGGAGCACCAAAAATGTTAGAAGTTTCAATATTGTCCGAAGGAGGTAGGAGGGGCACCTTCCTGCTTGGATTTCTGGTGGGCAGACTTTGGCCTTTTTAGGAGATTGATTGACAGAGTCCCATGGGAGTTAGTTCTGAAAGTCAAGGGAGACCGGGAAGGCTAATGTACTTTAAAAAGGAATTGTGAAATATTCAGAAGCATCTGTCTTAAGGTGTAGGAAGAAAAGGCACCAGGGAAAAAGAGTAGCATGATTAATGTGGAGACCTTAGGTTGGAACCTAGGGGAAAAAAAAATAATCTCTTGATTAGAAGAATCTTCTAAACCTCTTCCTCTAGAAGGAAGGTGAGATGACTTAAGACAACTACAAGGATGTCACGAGGTCATATAGGGAAAAGATTAGGGGGAACAATGTCTAACTAGAACTAGATTTGGCTGCTACACTTGCATATGTTTTGCAAAATTTTGTTTGCAAATACAAAAATGGCTTCTATAAGTACATGGTTGGCAAAAGGAGACTCAAGGAGTGTCTCCATCATTTGCTAAATGCAGAGGGTGTTGTAGTGAAAGGGATGAGGAATGGCAGGGGTACTTAATGCCTTCTTTGCCTGAGTCTCCATAATCTAGACCAGTTGTCCTCAGGATACCCCACTCACTGAGCTGGAAGTTGGTAATGGGGAGGTGAGGGAAGCCCTCACAATCCAGGAGGAGATGATTAATTACATGCAATGCCAATTAGATGTGTATAAGCCTATGGGCCCTGGTTGGAGCCACCTCAGAGTAATGAGAAAACTGGTGAAAGAACTTCACAGACTACTTTCAATCATCTACCAGCAGTCCTGGTCAACTGGAGGAGTTCCAGCTGGAACTGGAAATTAGCAAATGTAATGCCCATCAATAAGAAAGGTCAGAAGGATGGTCCAAGGAACTACAGGCATGTCAAGTCTAACCTCAGCTTCAGGCAAGGTTATGGAAGATCATCCTGACTGCCATGCAGGACAACCAAGGAATCAGGCCCAGCCAACGTGGATTTATGAAAGGAGGGTCCTGTTTGACTGACCTGGTCTCCTTCTGCAGCACAGTGACTAAGTAGATGAGGGGAAGGCTGCAGAGGAAGTTTATGTCAGCTTCACAAAAAGCATTTGACACCATTTCCTATAGCATTCACTAGAAAAACTGTCTGCTCACAGCTTGGATGGGTGGATTCTGATGGGTAAAACACTGGCTGGGTGGCTAGGCCCAGAGCATCATGGAGGTGAATGGAGCTAAATACAGTTGGTGGCTGGTCTCTAGTGGTGGTCCCCAGGGCTTAGTTTTGTGCCTAGTCCTGTTTTACATCTTTGTTGGTGATTTGGACGGGGGAATTGAGTGCACCTTCAGTAAATTTGCAGATGAGGCTGATTTGGGTGGGAGTGTTGATCAGCTTGAGGGTAGGAAGGTGCTGCAGAGAGACCTGCACAGACTCCATCAGGCTGAGGTCACAACTGCAGGAGGTTCAACAAGGCCCAGAGCAGGGTCCTGTGCTTGAATCACAGCAGCCCCTGGCAGCACCACAGGCTCTGGGAGGAGTGGCTGGAAAACTGTTTGACAGAAAGGGACTTGGGGATGGTGGCTGACAGTTGCTGAACATGAGCCAGGGTGTGCCCAGGTAGCCAAGAAGGCCTGTGGCATTCTGGCCTGGATCAAGAATGGTTTAGCCAGCAGGAGTCAGGTGATCATCCCCCTGAAAGTTTCACCTTCAATAGTGTGTACGGTTCTGGGCACCTTCATTTGAAAAGTAGATAGAAGTGCTAAAACATGCCCAGCAAAGGGCAACAAGGCTCATGAAGCATCTAGAGAAAATGTCTTACAAGGAATGGCTGAGGGAGATGCATTTGTTTAGTCCAAAGAAGAGGAGGTTCAGGGGAAACCTCACCACTCTCTACAGCTCCCTGAAAAGAAGGTGTAGCCAGGTGGGACCTGGTCTCTCCTACACTGCCTGCAGTGACAGATCTGGAGGAAATGGCCTTAAGCTGAGATAGGGGAGATTCAGATTAGATATTAGAAAATGTTTTTTAACTGTTAGGGAGGTCAGGCATTGGAATAGGTTTCCCAGGGAGAGGGTGGAGTCACCATTGGAATAGGTTTCCCAGGGAGAGGGTGGAGTCACCATCCCTGGAGTTGTTTAAGAGACATCTGGATCTGCTGGTTTAGTAATAAATATGGTTTAGTGATTTAGAGGTAACAGTGGTGGTGCTGAGCAGATGGTTGGGCATGATAGATCTTAGAGGCCTCTTCCTTGATGATTCTTTGTTTCTATGATTCTACTTGGTCATTCACCAAGCAGTAGGTAAGTACATAAGGTTCAAAAGGGGATAAACGCCTATCCTTCCTTTCTATCACCAGGAATCCGTCCTTTTAAGTCTCTTGGGATCCAAACACCATTTGTGTCTCTTACCAACACTTGAATGCAAAAAGTCAAGTTGGTTGTATAGAAATTACTGCAGTGGGGCGGAGCTCCACTCCTTGAGACAAATGGTGCTTCAGTGACCACAAATCTGAGTTCAATAGGAGGGCATAGGCCCCCACTGGACAATTATGCACGATATACCTACTGGAAAAATTTTGAGAGATTTTGCAGTCCTGCATAGTTAATGATTAATGTATATTCAAAAACAAGACATTATCTGTTCACATCTCTTTCTATACATTTTTTGCCTTAATGTAATTAAGATCATTAAAACATCAGGTTCAAAAAGAAATGATATTTTGGTCTTGGCCCTTATTTAATATTTAGCAAAATTTAAATAGTTTCATTATATATTGTGTAAAGGATTATAAATGAGTTTTTGCATTTTAATAGCAAGCCTTCTGTTTTTACATTAAGAAAAGCCTAAAAATAACTTCTATATCCCTATTTTATGTCTCATACTTCTTTCTAAATGTTTGTGTTTGAACAGAATTACTTCATTCCCTCCACTTCATGGGGTAACTTTCTAAGCTCTTCTCTTGTGATTCTTCAAACATTGTCCCATTAGAAGAAAAGCCTGTAAAGTTGTTTTTCCTGAGAGGTTTCACTTTGATAAATGTGAAATTTTCACCTGAGGAAGTAATTTAGTTACTGTTTCCAGTATCAAATTCAGAAGAGTATTATCTGTAGCTAGTTCTACAAACAGCTTTTCTCTCTCCTCAAACTACCTTAGTCACTGCAGATAGTTTGGAGCAAGCTTTTATTTCTGTATAATGTTTGTTTTTTCTTGCACCCATCCTTCTGGTGGTTAGGTAGAGAAATCTATTTCAAGCCTTTTCTTTAAGTAGTGGTATTTGCCAAATTTTTAGTTGAGAAGGCAGATGGAAATTATTATCAGTACTTAAATTAAAAAAGTTTAAAAAAATGTTCCTGGATTAAGAACAGTGGAATTTAGTTGGAATGAATCTAACTATTAAGAGATGTGAGTTTGGTTTCCTAGCTACTGTAAATCCGGATAGTTAAATCAAAATGTAATGGCCACAAACCTGAGAACATAGTAAGATTCAATGGAGTCTGCAACAACTAAAATTTATTATCCTCAGTCACATGGACACAGACAAAAATGTAATACTTACTGCCATTGAAGTTGGTCATTGAGTGCAGGATGAAGATCTTGGCTTCTGGACATAACAATCCATTATTACACGTTTAAGTTGGATGAATGGAAGAAAGAAGGTAAAAATAAAATAACTATTGTGGGATTGATTCTTGCTTACTCTCTACCACAAAAATAGTCACATCTTTTTCATCTAATTAAGCATGTTCCACCTTTCTTAATAAGATGCAAATGAAGGATTTCCGATCAAGATGCAAGATCTTGCATCAGATGCAAGATACTGAGTGCAAATGTGTCATTCCTTTAAAGCACAGATAGTGTAAAAATACATATATCCAAGACCAATAAAATAACTGCAAACTGTGCTATGAGAAAATCATGGTATTTTTCTCTGTGATGGCTGTAACCCTGAACACATCACTATTCACCCATAGGATCACCTCTGTTAGAGTTACATTCCTGACTTTGGGCATATACCAGTTTTTACTGTAATGTTTCTCATGTCATTTTGATTATTAGTTTTAGTTATTAGTTTTAACTAATACTTTCTCTATAACTGTTGTGACCTATATACAAATCTGTTTGCCTGCTGTTTTGGGAACCATTGTGATGAAGGCCATCTCAAAAGAAGTTCTGGTTATGGTATGTACATGCTACTTTTTCTAATTTATTTTTCCACTTTTTATTTGTCTTCTGTAGAGGTTCACTGAAAGCAAATTTTAGTAGTTTAATTCTTCTATATTGCACCACTGTTTCCTTCATACCTGAGGTGGATCTTCCACTTCCTCATAGGATGGTGCTCACAGAATAATCACAGCAGGAATGTAGTTAGTCATAACTTAAAGCAACTTGTGCTTCAGGAAAACTACCACTGATTTTAGTCTAAGTTTTACAGGTTAAGGGCAACAGGTTTACCAAGATTATATGGACAGCTTCTCAATACAATTTTTCTACAAGACTACATTAAGATAAAGATTGAGGTAATCAAAAATCAGTTAATAAATGGATTCTTGGAATAA